TGGAGCGTTGCGTCAGGTTCAGGGGGCCCCAGGCAGGGAGGGGGGAACAAGGGCGGCGAGGGACTAGGTCAGGCCGAGCCCGGCCGCTGCGGGGAGGAGGGGGCGCCTGGCAGGCACTGGGCAGGCCGGTGGGGGCGGCCGTTGGCGGACACAGAGAACAAAGAGGCTGGAGTTGCCAGGATATTCTGTGGAGCTGAAGCCCTGCGGTGGGGCCGGGAGCGGGGCCGTGGTGGCCGTGGGAACCGTGCCTGCTGCCCCCACGCCAGCTCTCCCTCCCAGCCCGGGCCTCAGAGCCAGGTTGCGGGCGAGGGGCTGCCAGGGCCCCCGCGCTGTCCCCAGATTGCATGGCTGTCGGGGAAGCGCGCCAGGAAACGCTGCAGACAAAGACACACGGCGCAGCGTGTCGGCGTGACGGAGGGCCACAGGTGCACGCTGACGCGCCATGTCACGGCACACACCCAGGGCACTGCCACAGGGCCACCGGCCGGCATCGCGCCGTCATATAGAACCGCTGACGTCCGTCTGAGGGCCACACCCCGACGGCCTCCCAGATACCATGTCACCGACCATATGGAGTCACCCCGTGTCTGCCATACAGGATCCCTGCTGCATATCCGATGTCCCACACAGAGAACCACTCAGTGCACACACACAGTTGTGAGCCTGGTATCACACTGGGTCTGCTACGGAACTGTACGGTGTTACGGGATCACACATGCACCGTCGCAGGATATCCCAAAGTGTGGCCGCTGACATCATCTGCTAACCCACAGCCACAAGAGGTCTCACATCATAGCTTACCACACCCTGTCATAGACCCATGGCATGGCACACTCAGTGTCACACTCAGTGTCACACAGGCTTCACATGGTCATCAGGGCCTTGAAGCATCTCTCTCTCTCTCTCTCTGTCTCTCTGTCTCTCTGTCTCTCTGTCTCTCTGTCTCTCTCTTTCACACACACACACACACACACACACACCACACCACTTGGCTGCATGGAGGCTGCTTTTGACTCCAGCCCCTTGTGCCCTCCAGCCTACCACACCATCCCTGCCACCCAGGTGAAGGCTCCCGGGGCACCAGGAGGCCAGGCTCCCCACTGTAGCAGAGCGGGGAGGGGCCCTAGGCATACTTCAGGGGGAGCAGGGATGAACCTGTAACGGAAAGGCAGGGAAGTACCTGACACAGATGGAGAAACATGAGGGACGTGGAGGTGCAGAGACACTAAGAGTCAGAGACCATCAGGAGAGCTTCAGACAGGGAGCCGGAGCGGCAGGCAGGCAGGGCTGGGGCCTGCTGGGGAAGCGGGGAGGTGGGAGGTGGAATAGCAGGTTTTTAGAGAAGACACACACCCTGGGTGGAAGGTGGGGGACATCTTGGTGAGATTTAGGTCAACAGTTTTAAATTCATAACATCAGTCCTGGCCTGTGTGGCTCAGTTGCTTGAGCATTGATCGGTTCATCAGGTCACCAGTTTGATTCCTGGTCAGGGCACATGCCCAGGTTTCAGGTTCAGTCCCTGGTCTGGGTAGATACAGGAGGGATTGGACTGATGTTTCTCTCCCACATTGATGCCCCTCTCTCTCTCTCTCTGTTGTCAATGTTTTATTTAAACATTTTAAATAAAAATAAAATACCACCACCAGCTGCCATTGAACAAGCGCTTAAGATGAGCCAGGCCCTTCCCCAGAGTGATCTCATTTCATCCGAAAGCCACTGTAAGGGAGAGAGACTGTTAATTGTCCCCATTTCCCAGATGAGGTAACTGAGGATTCATCGTGTGTTCAGCCTCACAGCTATCCCCACCCCTGCCTGGGGCTGACCTGCCATTTCCACAAGCAGAGCTCGGACAGCTGAAGTTGGAAGAGGTGAGGGCCTTCAGGGCGAGGGCTTCTCTGTAGAGTGTGTGTGTGTGTGTGTGTGTGTGTGTGTGTGTTGGGGGGGGTGGAGGGAGGCCGGGAGCTATGGCTGGGCTGTAAGCTGGCACACTGCGAGGTACAGACTGGCTGAGTCACGGCACCCCCTCCCCCTTGGGGCTGGCACAGGAGCCATCCACCCCGCACCTCAGGGCTGGCGGAGACCATCTGCAGCTTTTGTGTTGCCAGCAGCCAGGTGGGGGCACGCAGGGGCCTCCAGCCTGGTGCCCCCTGCTGGCCAGCTTCCCATCCCCCCACCCCCTGCCCCCCAGGAGGATCCTCTCCATCCCTTCAAGGTTCTGAGGTGGTTTGCCTTGTGCAGGGGCGAGGGTGCCCCCGCTGCAGCACCTCCCTCTACTCCCCGCTGGACGCCCCCATCGGCAGAGCCGCCTGGAGAGATCACAGGCAGCCACATGAAAGGGAATTTTTCCCGGGCAGAGATGGAGTTGAAAGCAGCCTCCCACCTCCCCCGCTGTGCCAGGCCAGGCTGCAGCTCCTGGTGCTGGAAGGAGCTTGTGGCACAAGGGAGAGGGCTGAGGGTCAGAGCCCCCAACCAACATGGCTGCTTTCCCCTCCCGGAAACGAGAGAGCCGTCCCATGTCCCTCCCCGCTCGGCCCACTCAGCTTCACAAGTAGCTCCTACCTTCCTCCCCAAAGCCCTCCTTCCTACCTCCCCAAAGCCCTCCTCCCCAAAGCCCTCCTCCCATCCTCCCCAAAACCCTCCTCCCATCCTCCCCAAAGCCCTCCGTCCATCCTCCCCAAAACCCTCCTCCCATCCTCCCCAAAGCCCTCCTCCCAAAGCCCTCCTCACATCCTCCCCAAAGCCCTCCTCCCATCCTCCCCAAAACCCTCCTCCCATCCTCCCCAAAGCCCTCCTCCCTTCCTCCCCAAAACCCTCCTCCCTTCCTCCCCGAAGCCCTCCTCCCATCCTCCCCAAAACCCTCCTCCCATCCTCCCCAAAGCCCTCCTTCCTTCCTCCCCAAATCCCTCCGTCCATCCTCCCCTCCTCCCCAAAGCCCTCCTCCCTTCCTCCCCAAAGATCTCCTTCCTTCCTCCCCAAAGCCCTCCTCCCATCCTCCCCAAAACCCTCCTCCCATCCTCCCCAAAGCCCTCCTCCCTTCCTCCCCAAAACCCTCCTTCCTTCCTCCCAAAGCCCTCCTCCCATCCTCCCCAAAACCCTCCTCCCATCCTCCCCAAAGCCCTCCTCCCTTCCTCCCCAAAACCCTCCTCCCTTCCTCCCCAAAGCCCTCCTCCCATCCTCCCCAAAGCCCTCCTCCCTTCCTCCCCAAAACCCTCCTTCCTTCCTCCCAAAGCCCTCCTCCCATCCTCCCCAAAGCCCTCCTCCCCTCCTCCCCAAAGCCCTCCTCCCCTCCTCCCCAAAGCCCTCCTCCCCTCCTTCCCAAAGCCCTCCTCCCCTCCTCCCCAAAGCCCTCCTCCCTTCCTCCCCAAAGCTCTCCTCCCTTCCTCCCCAAAGCCCTCCGTCCATCCTCCCCAAAACCCTCCGTCCATCCTCCCCAAAGCCCTCCTCCCATCCTCCCAAAGCCCTCCTCCCATCCTCCCAAAGCCCTCCGTCCATCCTCCCCAAAGCCCTCCTCCCTTCCTCCCCAAAGCCCTCCTCCCATCCTCCCAAAGCCCTCCGTCCATCCTCCCCAAAGCCCTCCTCCCTTCCTCCCCAAAGCCCTCCGTCCATCCTCCCCAAAACCCTCCTCCCTTCCTCCCCAAAGCCCTCCTCCCATCCTCCCCAAAGCCCTCCTCCCATCCTCCCCAAAGCCCTCCTCCCATCCTCCCCAAAGCCCTCCGTCCATCCTCCCCAAAGCCCTCCGTCCATCCTCCCCAAAACCCTCCTCCCTTCCTCCCCAAAGCCCTCCTCCCATCCTCCCCAAAGCCCTCCTCCCATCCTCCCCAAAGCCCTCCTCCCATCCTCCCCAAAGCCCTCCGTCCATCCTCCCCAAAGCCCTCCGTCCATCCTCCCCTCCTCCCCAAAGCCCTCCGTCCATCCTCCCCAAAGCCCTCCTCCCATCCTCCCCAAAGCCCTCCTCCCATCCTCCCCAAAGCCCTCCGTCCATCCTCCCCAAAGCCCTCCTCCCCTCCTCCCCAAAGCCCTCCTCCCCAAAGCCCTCCTCCCCTCCTCCCCAAAGCCCTCCTCCCCAAAGCCCTCCTCCCCTCCTCCCCAAAGCCCTCCGTCCATCCTCCCCAAAGCCCTCCTCCCTTCCTCCCCAAAGCCCTCCGTCCATCCTCCCCAAAGCCCTCGCCCCCTGAGGCCAGGCCCAGCCTCCTCAGGGAGACCTTCCTCAGGTCCAGCCGGTCTCAGCCGGGCTCCAGGCAGCTGGGCGGGAGGAATGCCTCCCTGTCCGGTGGATGACGGGCCTTATCCTGCAGCCAGCCTCCGGGGTGTGTAGGGTGGGGGGTGGGGGTGTACAGTCTCCTCTGGTTCAGGCTCCCTGGCCTAGACCAGGAGGCTCCGAGGGCGATTTCCCGCCACCTGACCTCTGAGGTCCAGACAAGCTTGTGCCAACACATTTCCTGGGGGTGGGGCAGTGACGAGACAAAGCCAGGGACACCCCAGGCCCCAGTCCAACAGGCCTCAGGCCTCGAGGGGCGCGTGGGGTCCGTGTGTGCGCGTGTGCGCTGGCTGTGAACCCTGGGGACACGCATCGGTGGCTGGGGGAGCACTAGGTCTCTGCGAGTGAGGAGAGATAAGAACCTGAACAGGCAGCTCAGGCCCCGCCCCCAGGCCTGCTGGCTGCTTTGCCCCGATCAGGTGCTGTTGACTTTGGATGAATAGAGAAGGTGGCCCCAGGTGAATGCAAGTCCCCAGAGGTTCCGGTTCTGAGGCAGGGGTACAATCAGGTAAGGGAGGCGCTCTACCTGGTACCAGCCGCTGCCAGATTAATAGCATTTCCACCCTGTCCTCAGGCTGGCTGTGTATCCAGAGGGCCTCACTTCCCAAGAGATCCCCCTCTACACGTCCCTGGGTGATCCCTCTTCTTCCCCAAGGTGATCCTGGACAACCCCCCTCCCCTCAGCCCAGCAGCAGCCGCCGCCCCCCCCCCCCCCAACCCAAGAGCAAGGAGCCAGCAGTGCTTCATGACACAAACATGCATTCGTTTTATTCACAAAACAGCCTGGTTTCCTAAAACAATACAAACAGCATGTTCATCAGCAGGAAGCTGGCCGTGGGCAAGAGGGCCCAGGCCGAGGGGGACCCCCCGGGCACCACCCCCACTGGCAGGGGACCACGCAGCGAAGCCCTTTCTTCTGTCGCCATCGGCCAGGCTGGGGGAAAAGGGACTTATTTTCTCTAAGGGAAGTAGCCATGGATCATGATCAGAAAACTATCGAGAAGACATGGGCTCCCAGATCTCAACGAATAAACAAACAGAACTTTTCATTTTTTGCAAAATCATTGTTGGGGGGGTGTGGGATCCTATTGTGGGGGCGGGGGGGCAGCAGCCTGGCCTGGGCACCCGCGGGGGGCGGGGAGTCTTCTCCCTCCCTCTCAGCGAGCTCCCCGCAGCTCTGCCCACGCAGATGGATACAGAGGGGCTTCGACACGGCGCCATCAACATTCTCTTTATCAACGCGAGTGGGTTCTCCAGGCAAACTATGCACTATTTCATGGTCAGAAAGAATCAAAGGAAGTTTAAATGAGGGTGGAGTTAAACTGTGCTAAATTACAGTAGTGCTTATTAGTAACTAGATTTCAAAAGGTTACAGAAATTTACATTCTCTACACAAAACTGCATCTCCTGCACAGACAACATCGACATCGACACAGGAAGGAAACTGATTGTCCATTCTTTGCCCAGGAAGTCTCGGTACTTTATAGATTCGTCTTTACCTCTCTTTTTTGTTGTTGTTGTTGTTGTTGCTGTTGTTCTTCTTCCGAAAAAGCAGTTAAATGTTTTTTTTCTTTTTATACTAGGGACGTGGAGATGTTAAAACGACAACAAAAAATATATATATATAAAAACAGGAATGAAATCTGTGAGAGAATATTTTTGGTTCTAAAGATGGGTGCATCCGTTTGTCTTCGCCCGAATCCCTTGCCGGAGACCACGCGAGCAGTGACATTGCACGGAGAGGGCAGCTTTGGGTTTCCGCCGCCGTCACTGAAACCACCGGAAGGCGGCTCCCGTCGGAAGCATCACCTTCTGGCGGGGGGCGGGAGACAAAAACAAGGAGAGAGTTCAGTCAGGGTCCGGCCGGGCCTGGTGCCAAGATGTTCCCCGTGGACGGTCTCATGGTGGAGGGATGGGCACAGCGTACAGGCAGCCACCCGGTGGAGTGCCTGCCATCCTGGCCAGGCCAGAGGAGGCGCCTGGACCCCCTGGGTCGCTGGAGGCCTGGAGCACCTTGAGGCCTCCTGAACCACTGTGCCCAGAAAGCCTCCTTCCGGACAGAAACATCCCTTCCCCTGGTCCAAAGGCCACAAGCACCAGGCGCTGCGGTGCGTCTGGGAGCCGTGTGCAGGTTTCTGTCGCATGAGCGTGTAAGCGTGTGCACCGAACACGCAGATGGGTGTACGCCTGGAGCTCTGCTACAGTGGGTAGCGTGTTTGGCGCTGTGGTGGGGAAAGAGGATACTTGCTGTGTTTATTAAGAGGCTACGTCTGTGTGCACTGGGTGTGTGTGTGTTTACAATAGACGAGGGTGGGTGCCTGTGTGCGCATACAGGACGGTGTATTTCTCTGGGCAGGAGAGCAGATATATGAGACTTGGGGCTCCGGGGGTGGGTAGCCACGGCTGAGATGCCATTATTGTTTTCCAACCATTCTGGACATTTGCATCAAGCCCACTCCTAGAGGGGTGGGGACAGCAGGCAGAAAAGATGCTTTTGTACCCAGGCCTGGCAGCACAGCTGGGCTGGCACAGCTGGGGGCACAGGGACAGGCCTAGCCTCAAGTCAGAGGGAGAGCAATATGGGCACCATGTGGCCTCCTTTAAGCCAATCCCACAGTGCACAGGCCTTGCACACACCCCAGGCTCACCACCTAACTCCAGGCCCATAGGTAGGCGCCTGGTCATGAGCTGTGCAACCAGACTGATCCTGGGGCCTCAAGGCACCCCAAATAAATGTCAGCGAGGCGCCTAGAACCAGGGTTTCTCCAGGCTTCCCAGCCCTGGAGCTGCTCTATCCTCGAGTGGCCTTGGGGGGGAAGGCGAGGCTCTGAAGGGACAAGCGATAGGGTTACCTTAAAGCCACAGGGTCCACGGGACAGGGGAGGGTCCCAGGATCTTAGGTCACAGACGGGAAGCTTTAGGGCGTGTCTGAAACTTGGAAAGTTGGGATGTGTATGGGAATCTCAATGCCTGACCCGGAACTCCTGGGGGAGGGGCGCGGCTGGGGACGCGAGGCCCTTGCCTGGAGTTCTTTATGCTTGCCTTGCAAACTACCACCTGACGGGATGTGTCAGGATGTGGCTCCGATTTTGGGGGGCAGTGAACTGTGTCTCTAAGACTGGCCTAGAACCCCAGAGCCCAGTCCCAGGCGGGGAAGGTGGGGCTGGGGGCGGGTTTGGGCTGCCAGACAGACACGAGAGCCCGCACACCTCCCTCTAAGGCGCCGTTACCTCCAGAGCAGCGGAAGGCTTCTTTTTGAGTTCCTCACATTTTCTGAATTTGCAAATCTGGTGGCCAGTCTTTCGGTTCCTACAACTGCTGCACTGCTCGCAGTTGATGCGCCGCCGGCAGGGCGGGCACATGCCACAGCGCTTCCGCTTCTTCTTGCCGGAGCCGATGGCGGAGGCCAGCTCGCCCTGCATGGGGTACTCGGCCAGGCCCGCCATGTGCAGCGCGCTCTCCGCCAGGAACACGCCCGCCGGCGTCATGATGAACAGGCCCGGGTTGATGGGGAAGGTGCCCAGGTAGGGGAAGTCGGACTGGCCGTTGAGGGCGTCGGCGCCCGCCACGGCCTCCATGTCGGGCAGGCCGGCGCCCGCCTCGCTCATCAGCGGCAGGTGCTCCTGCACCACGCGCTTCAGCATCTCCGTGGACTGCGCGAACTGCTGCAGCGTCAGCTGTCCTTCGGCCGCCAGCTCCGTGGCCCGCTCGGCCTTGCTCAGCAGGCTGGCCACAGCACCGCTTTTGTGCTTTGAGGTAGGGTTGCTTTTGTCCACGGCCACGGCCGCGGCCAGGTCGTGCCCGTTGGCCAACAGGGAGGCGGCGGCCGCGGCCTTCTCGGCGGACTCCCCGCCCATCAGGCCGCCCCCGCCGCCCCCGAAGGAGGAGGAGTAGTGGGAGAGGGGGCGGGAGCGGCGCAGGCTCTTGTTGAGGGGTTCGCTGATGATGCCGCTTTTGTTCCGGCGCTCGGGGGGCGGCGCGTCGTCGGCCACGGAGGCGGGGGCCGCGGGGGCCGCCCCCGCGCTCTTGCTGGCCACGCCGGCCTTGGGGCCGCCGCCGCCGCCGCCATTGGTGGTGGTGCTGCTGCCGCTGGTGTCCTGGGAGCCACTGCTGAGGCTCGACATGGTGGGGCCGAGGCCCAGACCCGGGTGCTGGGGGAGCCTGCCGACTAGGGGAGTCCTCGGACCAGTGCTGGGCCCTGCCGCCCACAACAGCGATGCCTGGGGGGCCTCGGCGCTCAGGGCAGGCACATGGTCAGCTCTTCACGTGGAAGTGTCTTCACTCTGTCAGGGCAAGAGGACACAGCGGTAAACATCTCCTCCTCCTCCATCTCCTCCTCCTCCTCCTCCTCCACCTCCTCCTCCACCACGTCCTTCGCCTCCTCCTCCTCCTCCACCTCCTCCTCCTCTTTCACCATCACCACCTCTTCCTCCTCCTCCTCCACCTCCTCCTCCTCTTCCTCCTCCTGTATCATTACCACCTCCACCTCCACCTCCACCACCACCACGCCAATACCTCACAACCGCCAGGCAGTCAATAAGTGCCAGCCCGCCCCCATCGGTAGGGTTTTGAAATCTGAATGATCCCAGTTAAGACTCACAAGAACCCTACAAAGTAGGGACTAGTAATATCCTATTTTATAGACGAGGAAGACGAGGTTTACGAGAACTGACTAGCCCATGGGTGTGATACACGAAGTGGCTCAGCCAGAACTGCCTCGCCAGGATCGGGGAGGCCTGACGGAGGCAGGCAGTCCTTCCTGGGCCGAGAGCTGGAGATGCTTATTAAGCAGGGGGAGATGATAAAGTCGCCTTCTACTTCCAGAACCTTCCTTCCCTGACCCAGCTGTCGAGAAGAGGAGCTGCACCGGCCTCTGAAGGGTAGGCCCACATAAGGTGTAGACCAACAAGTGTGGGAAGCTGCCCCTGGATTCTCACTGGCTATTCCTACCACATCAACGATCGCAAGGCTCTGTTCGGTCCTGCAGGTAAAGGAAACAGTTTGCTTTTGTCTAATAGGATTGGCCAAGCAGAGCTCAGAATCCTTATTTCAAGGAGCATGTATCCTCCTCCTCCTGCTGCTACGGGGCAGGCAGGACACGACGCCAGAGGACAAGCTTCGCCTGCAAGAGTGGGGAACACGCTTGTGCACACAACAGCACACACTTCCTTCTCACTCTCAGACCACAGGCACCCGCCCCGCCCCCACCCCACTCTTATCTCCACTCAGGCCTCACTGCTGTGCTCCAGCCTGACCTGCAGGAGGGCCCTCTGGCTGGTACAAGCTGGAACTGAGATTAGGTGCGACCCTTCCCAGGAAAGACCTGTCCTGCCCAGGCCCCAGGCCCCAGGCGCATGAGCGGCCAGGCTGCTTGCCCAGGAGCTTGGGGAGGAGCCATTCCAGATGGAACGGAGTGGCAGTTTCCTCATCAGCCCTGGCTCGCGAGCATTCCTTCCCTGTCTGCTCGCCTTGGCCTAGCAACCCCCAGAAAGGAGGCGGGAGGCCCAGCCCGGCCGGCCGGCCGGCGGAGCAGCTGGTGGCTCCAGGGGGAGGCACACATCTGGCCGGGCCGGCCCCGCCCCAGCTTGGGGGCGGTACACACACTGCATCTTTGTCCCCAGGCAACCCCACCAGTCCCCAGTCACAGGACTCGGCGTGTCCCAGGAGGTCATCCCGTCCACCCCTCTGCACACCCAGAGAGGAAAATCGAGACCCCAGGCAGGCAGGCCTCTGCCCCAAGGCTGCTAAGCAGCGGTAACGAGGAGCAAGGGTAGGTAGGAAAGCCCTGATCTCCGGGGTGAGACACGTGGCAGGCATTAGTAGGAAGCCAGACACTCTCTGCCCTGCCCCAGTGGGCACCAGCCCACCGAGGCTCCTTCTGGTGAAAGCGGATGAATGGTGAGGAAGAGCTGGGCACGCAGGCAGATTCCACCAGGACCAGCCCGGGAGGGCCTGTCCAGGCCGGGCTTCAGGTGTCACCGACGTCAGAGATGTAGTAAGAGAAAGAGGGTCATGTATCCCCAAGGATAGCCTCGTCCACCCTGCCTCCCAAGCAGCAGGCCCAGGCCGGCTCTTCGGCCTCTCTCCTCAGAGGTCCGTTTCCCTCCAGGCACCTGGGGCCTAGGCTAGTGACATCAGGCCAGAGACCACCACCCCAGGTCCCCTCGCCGAGCCCCTGCCCATCTGAGCTCAGCTCCCCAGCCCTAGGCCGCATTCCCAGCAGCCCGGCCGGAGCAGGCAGGCGCCCGCGGGCCGGAGAGCTGGGGAGGGGCCCGTGTGCATCCCCCCCTCCCGCTGCTGCGGCTGCTGGCTGGTGGCAGAAATCGATAGCGGCATTAACTCTGCTCTTGCTCTGCTCCCCCCACCCCCTGCCACCTCCCAGCTCCAGGATCTGGCGCTGCGCGCGGGGCTGGCAGGTCAATTAGAAGTCAGCTCCCTCCAACGCAGCCGGCCTGCGTTCAGGGCCGGTGCTCCGGCCGAGCCTCCCTGCTTTGTCTCCCTCCCGACCGACCGAGTCTCCTGCGATGGGGGCCCACGCCTCACGTTCTGTTCGTCTCCGGCCCTGCCTTTGAGTCTCTCTTTTAAAATCTTCCCTTTTCCCGCCCTCCCTCGGGGACGACCCTCCTCCCAGCCCCCCCCCCCGACCCCCGACCCCAGGTCCTGGGACACGCTGAGCTCAGGAGCAGAGGACGTGATATGTCATTGAACAGGTGCTGCGGGCGGAACACTGTGGTTCCTCAGCCACAGCAACCGACGATGGGGCGTGCACGGGGAGCTGGCACGCAGGCTAACGATCCTCAGCCACCCCCCCCCCCCCGCCGACAGATACCGACACGTAGCCCCCAGCCCCGGCCCCTCAGGGGTCCCAAAGCCGTCGTCCCCTCCTTCAGACCCCGGGAAAAGCGGAAGCCCCGGCCTCAGCGGACCCCCGACCGCAGGGCCCGCCGTTGGCTCTGCTCATGGGACAGGAGGACGTGGGAGAAGGCCGTCTCCCAGGCCCCAGCCTCCTACCGCAGGGCACACAGCAGCCCTTCCCAGGCCAGGAAGGGCCTGGCAGTGCCAAGGCAGCAGGGGAGGAGCTGGGCTGCGCTGAAGCGGAGCGGGAATGAGCGGGAGGGAAAGCTGGCGGGCGGGCGGGCGGCGGCGGCGCATCCATCATCGGCCCTGCCAGGAACGCATCCAGCCCCCAAAAAGAAATACTGCGCCTGAGGAGGGACAACAAAGGGCTCCGTTTCATCAGCAGTGTGGAGCCAGCGCCCCGCCGCCCCGCCAGGCGCGGTCAGCCCACAAAGGACCCCTTTGTCCAGGCAGGAGCCGGGCCGGCCGGGAGCGGGGACCAGGGGCCGACGGGCGGGACAGAGCCCAAGGGGGGTGCCGGGGGGCGGGGGAGACCAGGCTCGGAGCGCTGGGGGGCGAAGAGGAACACGGGGGCCGAAGGACGGAGACAGGTGGTGGGGATGGAGGGTCCTGAGACAGAGAGCCGAGGGGCGGGCCAGAGAGAGGAGGGCGTGCAGAGGCTACGGCTAATGGTAAAGGCCGGGGACACAGCATCACTGAAAGCAGAGGCCGAGTGGCCAGGCTCAGAGAGGCCCAGCGCACCAACCCGGGTCTGAGCGAGATGCAGGCAGAGCCCTGAGGAGAGAACCCCAGACTTAGGGACCGAGAGAAAGCAGCTGGTCACACCCATGGGAGAGGAAGGTGGAGGGGGAGGTTTGGGGGAGACAAGAGGCCTCAGGGCTTGGCCATGGGGACCAATTTCTTGTGGGTTCAAGTTCACTGGCTGGGCTAGGAAGAGAGAGAGAACCAAAGCTGGGGCCACTCTCCTGTCAGTGGGGCCACCCCTTGCCTCTAAGGCCAGAGCCTGGTCAGCCCCAGCAGGCACAGGCTCTGCCTTTCCCTAACCAGCTCCCTGAGGGACAGGCATTAAAGCTCCGGTCACTAGCCAACCACCCTATCAGCTAGCATTGATTGAGCACGGACTGTGTCCCAGGCGCTGTGCTGCTCCTTGGTTTTACATGCTTCTCTCCCTCCCTGACTCCTTCCCAGAACCTGGTAAATCGGAACTTTCACCCAATGTTAGAGATGAGGAAACTAAAGCTCAGAGAGACTGGAGCTGGCAGGACAAGGTCAAACAGCTGGTGCTGTATGGGGTAGAACATGAACCCAGAGCTCACATGTTAATTGCCACCCTGCTCTGGGTGAACTGCCCTTTGCTCACCTGGGCAACTGACGGAGGAGTCCAGAGCAAGGTGGCCCAGCTACCCCGAGACCGCCTCCCCCTCCCGGAGTTGTTACCGTGCCCGTCACCTTTGCGTGGTCTGTCCCAGACCCCCCAGGGGAGTACCCCCACCTGGGGGGCTTGGAAATGCCCAGGCAGGAACCCAGAATGCTGGGCCGGTGACAGCATAATGGCAGACAATGAGGTCACCAGAGGTGGTAGCTGTACCTTCACCCCACCCTCAGCCCCGAGGACCAGGACTCACCCCCGACAGAGCTGTCCTAAGCTTCTCAAGCCAGCCAGCAGGGGGGGCGCCGGGGCACCGGGCGTGGATGGTGCTGTCTGCCTGTGGACGTGCCCACAGGGGAATGTTCTAGTGCTCAGGTACCACAGCCCACAGCCTACCCAGCAGCAGCCCCGTGCCCTGTGCCGCTGAGAGGCACGGAGCACACAGGCCTCTTGGAAAAGTGCGCAGGAGCTGGGCCACGCCGTGTGGAACAAGAGCAAGAAGGGGAAGCGAGTGGGGCGCGGACTGAAGGGACCAGTCACCTGTGAGTTAAGGATAAAAGAGAGGTTACGGGGGGGGGGGGGGGGGGGGGGGGGGGGCGTGGGGAACAGGCCTGAAAGGGTTCCTAAGAAATGGAGAAGTGGCTGTGAGATTTTTTTATTTTATTATTTTATTTTACTGAGATATAGTTAATACTATAAAAAAAAATCAGCCATTTATAAGTGGCTGGACAACAATTTTTAAAAAATATATTTTATTGATTTTGTACAGAGAGGAAGGGAGAGGGAAAGAGAGCCAGAAACATCAATGAGAGAGAATCATCGATCAGCTGCCTCCTGCACACCCGCTACTGGGGATGTGCCCCACAACCAAGGTACATGCCCTTGACCGGAATCAAACCTGGGACCTTTCAGTCCACATACCAACAACGCTCTAACCACTGAGCAAAACCGGTTTCGGCTGGAAAATAACTTTTTTTTTAAATATATTTTATTGATTTTGTACAGAGAGGAAGGGAGAGAGACAGAGTTAGAAACATTGATGAGAGAGAGTCATCG